AGGTTATTTGCTTTCAATTACTGATTGAATTGAGTTTTAACACAAAAGTATACATTACTCTAAAATATTTTATTTTATATTACAGATAATATATTTGCTGTTCATAGAATATTTCACATATCAGGAAATTAATTACAGTCCAACTCCTTCCACACTCAATTTACTAATAAAAACATACTAAACATATTCATGTCTATAAAAATTAAATCTTTTTGTGTTGCATAAAATTAGATTCAATGACTATCTTTCACATAAGTGTTTAAGATAAAGAGACATCCCTTAATCTCTTTACTTTTTTAAACTCTTTTCTTTAAAGACTGCTTTAATAGGATTTGCTGGTTCTGTTTGTGTTTAATTTTAAGAAAATTATCAAGCAGTAAACACTCAATGTTCTGTCAGATCAAGTATAATGTAATTTTCTAAAGAATATTTGGATGACATTTTTAAAGTATGAAAATATAGTGTGTATGAAAGTATAAAGTATGAAAATATGTCTGTGCCTGTGTATGTATGATGATTCTGCTCTGTGTATTAATACTCACTACATCAATAAGTGTGTAGCTTGTCTTAAGAGGCAGCAAATTTAACCTAGTTTGAAGTCATCTTCTTCAGCATCCTATGACCTGAAGAAACAATAACGGAATTGGGTCTGAATTTGTATTTCAGCTCACCAGCAATGTGACCTCCAGCAAATCACTTTTTCTCTTTGGGACATAATGTCTACTCTGCTTAAAGATGGGCTTAGCTTGAGTAATCTTTCTTGTCTATTCCTGCTACCACATTCTGTAACTACATTGGTATGAACCTCTCAAGGCAATAGCCAATTCTATTGGTGTGCATGCTTTTTTCTTTTTAAGCATATTCATAACAATAGAATATGTGATATCCCTAGGCCAGTTAGACCTTGGATAAAGTGGCAATCATAAGATAGTTAGCATGTGTTTCAGGAGTCCTAATGCCATCAAGCTGGACCCATTAAACAATTATTTCATCCTGAATTTTTTTAAAATGGGTAATCAACTGTATTAGTCATGAGGAAAAAAAATACATAGTAGCTAAAATTAAAATGAAAGACATCACTGGTATTGATGTTTAATAACCAGAAGATTCACAATGATAGAGTGTTAGTGGAGGTGTGGATTGACATATGTCATAGAAAATTATATGATGATATAAATATCAAGCACTGTTGATAGTTATTTACAGAAAAAACTACTTATGATAACACCTGAAGACTAGAAGAAAAGATTTCCACACCTAAGGATACAAAGAAGGACTGCTGTGAAATGGGTAGGCGGGATAGAGACATGGTATGGTCAAAACCCACACCCCCAGGTGGGCAACTCACAAATGGAAGGATAAAGACAATTGCGGAGTCTCTCCCCAGGGCAGTGATGGGTCTGAGCTCCCACTGGACTCCCTAGCCCAGGACTCCTCCATTGGAAAACAAACCCGGAAGGTCTGGCTTTGAAAGCTGGAAAGGTTTGCCTATGAGAGAGCTGGATGGCTGCAGGAAACAGACTCAACTCTTAAAGGGTCCATGCATAATCTCATACACTCTGAGTCTGAGTGTAAAGGCCTTAATTTTAAGGGAGCTCAGATCAAATCCATTTGCTGGTCTTGGAGAGCCTCTTGTAGAAGCAGGAGCCAAGTGGAACTCCTTTGGTAACACAGATGCTGGCAGCAGCCACTTCTGAGACTCAGTTGGGCACTAGGACACTCATGGCAATCAGCATTGCCCAGCCCTCACTCTGGTCTGTTAGTGCGAAGGGCTTACTCATCCGCTAGATACTTGCCATCAGACCCAGGAGCCCCAGGTGCTGCAGCTGGATGCCCAGGGACCAGACCTCTCCCAGCAATGGGCTGAAATGAGCTCCAGCCTCTCCAAGCCCCTGACCAGCCACAGGGACCCCAGTCCTGTCCACTAGCAGGCCTGGAACAGTCCTAGCCCCTCCATGCCTGTAGCCAGTCACCTGAGGACCTAAGCCTGCCCAACGGTGGGCCAGCAGCCACTGTATCAGGCAGAACCTTTTAGCCAAACTGGCCAGAGGGAAATTCGCCTAGGACTGCTCCTGCAGTAGCTGGCCCCATCACAACAGAAAGGCTCACACAGCTCACATACAGGGAGCCCTATGTGGTGGAGAGATAGGAAACATAACTGACTTACCTAATACATATAAAGAGCTCAGCGGGTAAAGAGCTGCCTGCAATTGAGGAGACCCCAGTTCAATTCCTAGGTCAGAAAGATTCCCTGGAGAAGGGACAGGCTATCCACGCCAGTATTCTTGGGCTTCCCTGGTGGCTCAGCTGGTAAAGAATCCGCCTGCAATGTGGGAGACCTGGGTTCAATCCCTGGGTTGGGAAGATCCTCTGGAGAAGGGAATGGCTGTCCACTCCAGTATTCTGGCCTGGAGAATCCCATGACTGTATATCCATTGGGTCGCAAAGAGTCAGACATGATTGAGTGATTTTCACTTCACTTCACTCCATGTAAAGTGAGGAAGCAGAGAAAAAAATTCCAAACAAATGGACAAAATAAAACCTCAGAAGAATAACTAACCTAAGTGGTGATAAGCAACTATCTGACAAAATTTCAAAGCAACCATCATAAGGATGCAAATTAGTGTGATACATCACATTAACAAGTTAAAAAAATAAAAACCATCTCATATGCTCAATTTGCTTCAAGTGTGAATAATTAAAGTTCGGCCTTTTCTAAAGTTGTTACAGCATTCATGGGGGAAAATACAAAACTAGAAATCTAATTAATCACAGGATTGCATAACACAGAAGAGTGAGGGCAAATGCCTCAGAGATTTAACTCCCAACTGTCACTAAGCAAAACTTAAGTGTGATCTATCTATATTGTTCACCTTCTAGAGGCAAGCACAGGAGAACTTGCTCATCGCAGGTAAGTTTCTGAGTTGCCAAATTTGAAGAATGAAGAATAAGAACCTTAAATCTCAAAAACTAAGGAAGCAAATATTTAGAGACTTGTAAATGAACACTTTATTTACTTATTTCCTTTGGTTAATAATCTGTAATCTAATGGAAAAAAAAAAACATTGTATTTCTATTTTTTAAAATTACTTTACAATATTGTGGTGGTTTTGCCATACACTGACATGAATCAACCATGGGTGTATATCTGTCCCCCATTGTATTTCTTATTAAAGCAGGAAATATCAGATTTATTTTGATTAGCAAAAAATTTTATATATGTATATTTTAAACAAAATTAAGGGTGAAAGTTGGATTTTTTTTATTTTTTAATTTTTATTTTTTTTTAATTTTTTATTAGTTGGAGGCTAATTACTTTACAATATTGTAGTGGTTTTTGTCATACATTGACATGAATCAGCCATTAAAGCACTGTGAAAAGGTATAACCAAGATTTAAGATTTTTTTGAATATCTTAACAGTAAAAAGTGTCATGTTTTTCGTGCTGTGTGTGCTCGATTACTCAGTCATGTCTGACTCTTTGTGACTGCAAGGACTGTAGCCCAACAGGCTCCTCTGTCCATGGGATTTTCCCACCAGGAATACTAGAATGAGTTGCTATTTCCTTCTCCAGGGGGTCTTCCTGAGCCCCAAATTGAACCCGTGTCTCCTGCACTGCAGGCAAATTCTTTGCTGCTGTGCATAATGACTTATTACAATACTAATGCTATTAATAATTTGTGCAAATTCAATCCAGAAAAACCACATACCACATTGACTCATCTAAAGCAAAATCAGTTGATCATTCATACTCCAATTCTCATATATCAACAGAGTGCATGCACACACAAGCACACACATGCACATACATATAAACATACACACAAATAGAAGCTTATATCAAATATATGTTTGTTACTTTTGTCTTATCTATTTTTAATGAACAAACCAGGTTAAAATCTAAAGGAATGAAAATGCATTAGCTAAAGTTTCTTGTTTCTGCTTGTTTCTAGAATTTTTATCTGGTCAAGAGACATGTACTTTGGCACCAGACTTCTTCTGCATGTAAGTAATAATAATGTGGCAAAGCAATAAAATATTCCTAGAGAAAATTTTACTAAAATATATCTAATGCTCAACATCTACATTAAAAAGTAGAGCAGAATTTCATTCTGTCACTATTTAATAAACAATAATAAGCAAACTGGGCTCCGCAGGTGGGTTAGTGGTAAGGAATCCACCTGCAGGTCAGCAGATGGGGATTCTTTTTTTTTTTTTCCATTTATTTTTATTAGTTGGAGGCTAATTACTTTACATCATTGCAGTGGTTTTTGTCATACTTTGAAATGAATACGTGTCTCTTTCAGATCTGGTTTCCTTGGTGTGTATGCCCAGAAGTGGGATTGCTGGGTCATATGGCAGTTCTATTTCCAGCTTTTTAAGAAAAGGAGATGGGGATTATATCCCTGATTCAGGAAGATGCCCTGGAGAAGGGAATGGCAACCCACTCCAGTGTCCTTGCCTGGTAAATCCCATGGACAGAGGAGCCTGGTAGGCTTCAACATTGAGTTGAAAGAGCCACATATGTCTTAGTGATTGAACAAGAAACGGACAAATAAACACATCATGATTCTTAAGTACTCAAGAAGTGTAATCACTTGTATTCTTAGTTGGATAAATATCTTTAAAATATAAGGTTGAATACTCCAACCTTGTCTTTAATTAAAGTGTTACTTTCATATTTGTTTGACATGCAGTGAGCTTTCAGTAAAGAAGTGATTGCTGAGAGAAAGCAGTGAAGGTTCCAACTAGTCACATACATCATAGATGATATCTAAATTTAGAGTCAGACTTTCTCAAAACTCCTATCCTATCCCACACTTAACCTTTTAAAATCAAATAGTGAGGAAATGTGTATGGGCTATTTTCTCAGAATAAAATATACTGGAATGAATTATATCTGATTTACAGATAATATTTTGTCTCAAAGAGAGTGAAAACATTGATCTGTCATTGTCTCAGTCATTTCTGGAGCATTTTTACAAGAAGCATAAAGAAGAATGGATGGGGAAAATTGCACTTCCTTGAAAGAATTCCTTCTCTTGGGAATTAGTAGTAGCCCGGTAATCAAAGTGACTCTATTTACCACGTTTCTGGTTGTTTATATCATTATTCTCGTTGCAAATCTTGGGATGATGGTTTTAGTTAGAACAGACCCCCAGTTGCACACACCCATGTACTTTTCCTCAGCCACCTCTCCTTCAGCGACCTCTGCTATTCCACAGCCATTGGACCCAGGATGCTTGTAGGCTTCCTCATCAAGAACAAATCAATCTCCTTCTATGGCTGTGCTCTGTAATTCCTGATCTTCTGTACCTTTGCAGATTCTGAGTGTCTGCTGTTGGCAGTCACAGCCTCTGATCGGCACATGGCTATTAGCAACCCCTTGCTTTATACAGTCAAGATGTCCGGCAAGGTGTGCTCGCTGCTGATGGCTGGGGTTTATATGGTGGGAATTACGGATGCTTTGACAATTACAGTATTAACTTTCCACTTATGTTTCTGTGGGTCAAATGAAATTAACCATTTCTTCTGTGATGTTCCTCCTCTCCTCTTGCTATCTTGCTCAGATACACAGGTCAATGAATTAGTGATGTTTATCACTTTTGGCTTCATTGAACTGATTGCACTTTCAGGTCTTTTTGTGTCTTACTGTTACATCATCCTAGCAGTGATAAAGATTCGCTCTGCTGAAGGGAGGTTCAAGGCTTTCTCCACCTGCAGCTCCCACCTAACTGCTGTGGCAATTTTCCAGGGAACTCTGCTCTTCATGTATTTCAGGCCAAGTACTTCCTACTCTCTAGACGAAGATAAAACGACCTCCTTGTTTTATACCCTTGTGATTCCCATGTTAAATCCTCTGATTTACAGCCTACGGAACAAAGACGTGGAAGAGGCTCTGATGAAATGTAAAAATAAAAAATGGTTCCATTGAAAATTTGTTCGTATACATTTTCCTGCCAATATTACACAATAATTAATTAAAATAAAAATCGGTGTGACTAATGTATGATTCTGTTTGTATTTATACTATCTTCCATTCCTAGCAATATGTATGATTTCCTAAATGCCACAGGTTTCATTTTATATCTTAAACTTCTGTTTAGTACTCCTTATTTGTGGAAAGTTTTCAGACTCTTCATTTGCCAAATTTGTGTTTCTTCAGTATTTATATGTGTTAATTTTGTTTTTTAAATTTTCTGAAAGTTATTGTTTTCTAAGTTGCTATTGTCCTCTATGTGGGCTTTATTTCATGGTGAACCCATCTGCTTATTTACTAATGAATCTTGGCATGTAATGGAAGTGACCAATGTCAATTAAATAATTATTCAAATTATTTCTAAGAGACTGTAATTATGACATAATATAAAAAGCCTTGCTGTTGTTTAGTCAAGGTGTCCAACTCTTTGTGACCCCATGAATTTAAGCATGTCAGGCTTCCCTGTACACACACATAATCCTCACATCATTTTTATATAAAAACTAAAAGTCAAATTGTATAGAAAACATCTAGCTATCCCTATGGAATATAAATGTGTTGAGGTTTTTGCTGTTTTTTTTTTTTTTTTTTTTTTACAAAATCTTTGTTTCATGAGTATGTTTATTGGAGAGTGTGTTTGTGTGTCTGTGTGTGTGAGGGTGAATAGGTATGCATTTGTTTTCTAATGTATTGAATGAAAACAAAGTGGCCACATAAGAATTGGTGAACTGGGAATTAGGAATGCTTGCAGATGAGAGGCATTCACTGTTCTGAATAAGTGTAATATTGGGCATTAAGGTAGAGGGGGACCAATGGCAAACTATCCTAAAGGTCTATATTCATTTGCAATCAGCTTACTTGTATGAATATCAGATGATAAATTACATCATATCTGTTACTTATTCCTGAGAGACCAAATGTCCACCACCCAGGGACCAGACTCAGAGATAATTATATAATCTGGGTCAGGAAAGAGGCAATGCTGAATGTTCCTGCAGACAGAACTGCATGCAAACAAACAAGTCAAGAGTTCTGGGACAGTACTGATACTTTTGTTGTTTCTCTGATTTATATTTGAGATTTCCTTATTTTTTAATGCTTTTTTGAAAGAAGGTATTATATATAAACAAAGGAACATATGAAATAATACACACATTTTTATTTTAGTTAGCTGTACAACTTATTTATTTTAAATACATATAAGTAGGGAATATAAAAGGAGCAAACATGCATTATGGAAATGGTCAGATGTTTTTAACATTTTAAAAATGTATCTGTTATATTATGCATTATGTATAACATATATATTATATTTCTATAAATTCTTTAAGTTTTTTTTTATGTGGTTTTTTTTAATTAGTTGGAGGCTAATTACTTTATAATATTGTAGTGGGTTTTGTCATACATTGACATGAATCAGCCATGGATTTACATGCAATCCCCATCCCGATCCCCCCTCACACCTCCCTCTCCACCCGATCCCTCTGGCTCTTCCCAGTGCACCAGGTCCGAGCACTTGTCTCATGCATCCAACCTGGGCTGGTAATCTGTTTCACCCTAGATAACATACATGTTTCGATGCTGTTCTCTTGAAACATCCCACCCTCGTCTTCTCCCACAGAGTCCAAAATTCTGTTCTATACATCTGTGTCTCTTTTTCTGTTTTTCATATAGGGTTATCGTTACCATCTTTCTAAATTCCATATATATGTGTTAGTATACTGTAATGATCTTTATCTTTCTGGCTTACTTCACTCTGTATAATGGGCTCCAGTTTCATCCATCTCATTAGAACTGATTCAAATGAATTCTTTTTAATGGGTGAGTGATATTCCATGGTGTATATGTACCACAGTTTTCTTATCCATTCATCTGCTGATGGGCATCTAGGTTGCTTCCATGTCCTGGCTATGATAAACAGTGCTGCGATGAACATTGGGGTGCACGTGTCTCTTTCAGATCTGGCTTCCTCGGTGTGTATGCCCAGAAGTGGGATTGCTGAGTAATATGGCATTTCTATTTCCAGTATTTTAAGAAATCTCCACACTGTTTTCCATAGTGGCTGTACTAGTTTGCATTCCCACCAACAGTATAAGACAGTTCCCTTTTCTCCACATCCTCTCCAGCATTTATTGCTTGCAGACTTTTGGATAGCAGCCATCCTGACTGGCGTGTAATGGTACCTCGTTGTGGTTTTGGTTTGCATTTCTCTGATAATGAGTGATGTTGAGCATCTTTTCATGTGTTTTTTAGCCATCTGTATGTCTTCTTTGGAGAAATGTCTGCTTAGTTCTTTGGCCCATTTTTTGATTGGATCATTTATTTTTCTGGAGTTGAGCTGGAGGAGTTGCTTGTATATTTTTGAGATTAATCCTTTGTCTGTTGCTTCATTTGCTATTATTTTCTCCCAATCTGAGGGCTGTCTTTTCACCTTGCTTATAATTTACTTTGTTGTGAAAAAGCTTTTAGGTTTCATTAGGTCCCATTTGTTTATTTTTGCTCTTGTTTCTAATATTCTGAGATGTGGGTCATAGAGGATCCTGCTGTGATTTATGTCGGAGAGTGTTTTGCCTATGTTCTCCTCTAGGAGTTTTATAGTTTCTGTTCTTAAATTTAGATCTTTAATCCATTTTGAGTTTATTTTTGTGTATGGTGTTAGAAAGTGTTCTAGTTTCATTCCTTTACAGATGGTTGACCAGTTTTCCCAGCACCACTTGTTAAAGAGGTTGTCTTTTTTCCATTGTATATCCTTGCCTCCTTTGTCGAAGATAAGGTGACCATAGGTTCGTGGATTTATCTCTGGGCTTTCTATTCTGTTCCATTGATCTATATTTCTGTCTTTGTGCCAGTACCATACTGTCTTGATGACTGTGGCTTTGTAGTATAGTCTGAAGTCAGGCAGGTTGATTCCTCCAGTTCCATTTTTCTTTCTCAAGATTACTTTGGCTATTCAAGGTTTTTTGTATTTCCATACAAATTGTGAAATTATTTGTTCTAGTTCTGTGAAAAATACCGTTGGTAGCTTGATAGGGATTGTATAAATGCTTTAAGTTTTAAAGGAAATTATTTTTGCTTAATTATGTCTTTCTAAGCAGATATACAAGTTAAGTTCTAAGGTTGAAAATCTGCACAGTGATCACTAGACCACTGTTCCAATGCTCTTATCTATCCCTCATCTACATTCAACTCCTGTTTTTCAAATTCCCCTAGAACATAAGAGGATAAGTGGAGGAGAAGGGAATGACAGAGGATGAGATGGTTACATGACATCTTCAACTCAATGGACATGAGTTTGAGCAAACTCTGGGAGTTGGTGATGGATAGGGAAGCCTGGCATGCTGCAGTCCTTGAGGTCACAAAGAGTCAGACCCAACTGAATGACTGAATTGACTAACTTATGACATTATATATCACATAATTGGTTTGGGTAAAATATAACAGTGGGACATAGAGTTCCATTGTCCTTCCAAAGACAAGTAATTCTTAAACCAAAGAAAGGCAGAACTCAGAGATACTGAAGAGAAATCTGGCTCAAATAAAATAATCAAACAATATCAAGATATTTAGGGAATTGGAGTGGGGCCTCAGCTCAGATGTGAATGTCTCTGAGGTTACAGAAGTGTCATCATGAGAATATTTATGTTATGTGTCTTACAAAACCATTATGGCAGAATACAAAGTGTGGAAGGAGTAGGTTAGGGCAGAAAAGACTCACGCAGCAAACCAAGCCTTCTTTCTTGCCTTTATGACCCTTGCTACCAGCATCTCTGCAACTGGATCTCAAACGCTCATCATCTTCCCAGTATAACTGCAACTTCCAAACAGGAGAATGGTCTGCACTGGCATGTTACTCTATGTGCATTTCATCATTTAGTTCATAGAGACCCTTCCACTCTCTTATCCAAAAATCACCACCCTCTCTATCCCAGCGGGTCCTGAATCATGAATCATCTATCCCTCCTATGCTGAGGTTTGACGGACTTGAGAGGTTAATGGGGAAGTGAGGACTTTTTATATTTAGAAACTGGCTATAGTTCTGCCCTCTCCAGAGGGGGAATAAGAAAGCAATATATTCATCAATATATTCATTACCATTCTTCTCTAACACAGGGTATAACAACATTTCTACATCACTGAGAAACAAAACAAACCAAAACACCCAGCAATCTTGTCAAAAGACAAGTTATGTGAACCACCCCATAGTCAGACCCTTGCTTTACTCAGAGCACATCCTTTTGTTAGTATTAGACAGGATAGCAAAGTGTTAGTCACTCAGTCGTGTCTGACTCTGCGACCCCATGGACTGTAGAGCCCACCAGGATCCTCTGTTCATGGAATTCTCCAGGCAAGAATACTGGAGTGGATAGCCATTCCCTTCTCCAGGGTATCCTCCCAACCTAGGGATCAAACCCAGGTCTCCTGCATTGCAGGCAAATTCCTTACCATCTCAGATATCAGGAAAGCCGCAAACATGGTCATAAATACTATACAAGTTGGATTGGAAACAGTCTGATTTAGTTCGAGTGAAAGGGTGCTGCAAAAATATACTGCTGCTGCTAAGTCACTTCAGTCGTGTCTGACTCGGTGCAACCCCAAAGATGGCAGCCCACCAGGCTCCCCCGACCCTGGGATTCTCCAAGCAAGAACACTGGAGTGGGTTTCCACTTACTTCTCTAGCGCATGAAAGTGGAAAGTGAAAGTGAAGTCGCTCAGTCCTGTCTGACTCTTAGCGACCTCATGGACTGCAGCCTACCAGGCTCTTCTGTCCATGGGATTTTCCAGGCAAGAGTATTAAAGTGGGTTGCCATTGCCTTCTCGGCAAAACTATACAGTGCTTTGCAAATGTATTGTTGTCAACATTTTTTTTTTCATTTATATAAATTTGGAGAATATTTCTGAGTCTGTTGCCCTCATGTAGTCCTAGGAAGGTTTGTTTCTTTTCCTGATTACTGAAA